AATTTTATACAAATGATAAGCAATGAAAAGTTTGTATTATAAAAGATAAGCATATTTTATATATAAAATATATAGAACATTTTATTATAGTTTTAGCTAATAAGTAATTATAAGAAAATTTATATAAAATATAAAAATACATTTATTCTTTAATCTATATAGTTAGATAAGTACTAAAAATCAGAATATATGTTAGAATAATTTATATGAAGAGTTATCCTAATATTTGAAATATTACATTTTAAATATATTGATATTTTTTTTATTTTGACTAATTGATAAATTATAATGCTATAGCAGAAAATGTATTAGTTATAGTAAAAATGAATCTGAGTTCTGTTAAGATGTATAATAAATAATATATTAATAAATGTGAAAACAAATGTGAGTAATTAATAATATTTTTAGATGATTATTCAGTAACAAGACTAAAAGAAAAATCAAAAGAATTAAATAAATATTTGAAGAATATAACTATAAATGAGAGACAAAATCTTATAATAATAGTTTAAATAAAATTATATTAAAATTATAATAAGAGATATAATAAAATTCTTCTGATATAATAAAAGTTAAATCTATTAAACTTAAAATAATTTTGTTATATCTTTTTTTTTTATATTTTAATATAAGAAAGTTCATTAGGTATCTATAAATATAACTTATGATCAGCAAAAAATATTTGTTTAATATATAAATAGTATTATAATAAAAATGATAATAATTCAGAAATTTTAAGTTGCTATGTATAACGATTATATCATAACAATCTTATTTTTATAAATAATAATCAACATTAAAGAAATAATTATTAAAGCAAAATATATTTTAAACATTATCCTAAATTTTATTGAGATTGAGAATGTAATTATATAAAGAGATACTGAAGGTTTACTAAAAGAAAAATTAAATAAATTTACTGCAACAAGTTTTAAGAATTCTTAATGATATTTTTATAATAACTATTTGTTAATATATTTATAAATCTTAAGGTATATGAATAATGATTGATAATGTTAGCATTAGAAATAAATATTATCATAAATATAGAAAATATCACGTAAAAACTATCAGGTGATAATGTATAGACCAATGATCAATAATTCTATGACAGGCCAATCAGATTCTTTAATATTATGAATTTTATTTATACTTATAATAATGAATAACTTTTTATTTTTAAATATTTTTATTATTTTTATTATATTTTATTATTTTTCTTATTTATTTTATATTTTATATCTTTATTTTATTATTTTTTATTATTATTTAATAGTTAAAGTTTACTAAAATAATTAATTTATAGTATTAAAGAATATTAATTATAATAAACTAATTTTGCATAATAAAATAACTTTTTGTTCAAGTTGTAAATTAACTTATTTATAAGTTTCTTATAAGTTTTAAGTTATAAATAAAGGAATCAATTTAAATCTATATAATTTACTTTTTCCTTCAACATTATTTCTTATCTAGGATTTATCTTAAATTCTAAAATATAATAAATTACTAAGTTAATTCAAATATAACAGATATCTATAAGATTTAGAGAAAATCTTAAAGTCAAAAGCTCTAATATATAGAATTAATTACTATAATCTTTAACTTAGACGTTAAGATAGCTAAAAATGAAACTAATAATAATAGATAAATTTGTTAATGAATATCACTAAATATAAGTCTTATACCTAAAATATTAAAAGAAAAATGAACTTTGAGAAATAATAAAATATAATAAATTTTTACAAGTTTATATATAAATAGTTTAAGAATAAAGTTATGATCATCAAAATTGGAAGATGATATCATATTATTTTAATTTTTATTATTTAACTACATATTAAATATATTGCAATATTTTTGATTAATTTTGATCACGTAAATTGAAGTAATTCATGTAATTGTCAGATATAACCTACTGGTATTATATAAATAATAATATTATTATAACATATTAATATAATAAAATAATTTATTCACTTAAGACTCACAATGATTTTTATTTTCTAATATACTTAGATTTCACTAAATATTATATAGATTTAATAAATAAATTTATTTTGTATTTAATAAATATATTTATATAAATTAAATAAAATGTTTAAAATATTATTTTTAAAATTTTCATGATAATGCCTTTGTTATAATATGATTAATGAAAATAAAATTACTTTTTATTTTTATTTTTCTTCTCTTCTTATAATTTAAACTAAACCTATATCTATATAGTAAATAAATTTTATGAAAAATTTAAAAATATTAAAATATTTAAAGTAAAAAATTTTTGTTAAACAATCAATCAAATGGTAAAATTGATCAATTAATCAATCAGTTGATCAAAGGCCTTTAACTAATTGTTGATCAATTATTATTATCTCTAGTAATATATATAATATTTTTGAATATATAAATAGACGATTGCAAGATAAGTTTAAAATATAGTTGCAAAATAAAATTCTAAACCCATTTTGACAAAAGTCAAAACCTTTTAGAATTTATTTTAACAATTTTAATGGATTTTGATAGGTTTTGATGAGTTTAATAGATTTTAATAGGTTTAGATAGGTCTCAAAAGTTTGATAGGTTCGATAAATCTTAAAATTTTGATAGTTTTGATAATAATTTTACGAATTTTAATTAAATTTGACAGGTTTTAATAGATTTATCATATAACAAATTATAGAATATATAAAAAGATTTTTTCTTTTTAATTTTATCTAACACAACCTATTTAATAATGAGCAGTAATGAAAATGCAAATCGAAAAATTAGCAAAAGATTGTAAAAGGATGTTTAGAAGCATTTTATAAAGAAAGCGAAAAGACTCCTGAATGTTATAAAGTAATATATAAAACTTGTATAAAATTTTAAACAAGATGTGAACTAGTAATAATGGAAAATTATTTAACAAACTATTGTATTTAGGTAGAACCTTCAGTTATTTGTGAATATTTAAATATAATAGCTAATCGTAATATTAATGATAATAACCCAAGAAAATAAAAAAGTAAAGCTGTCTATGGAATAATAGATGCCTTTTTGGATCCTGTTAAATTACTGAAGGAAAAAGTAGAAAGGATTGACTACACACTTATAAAGCTTTTAAATGTGCAGTTATATCTTGGTGAATTATTAAACATCCATTTTTTAGGGATCTTTTAAAAGAACTTAATTCTGCATATAAACTACCAATCTGTGAACATCTTGCTAAGAGTTTATTGGAGAAAGAAATATCAATTGTTAATAAAAAAATCAATAAAGATTTAGAGCAGCAAGAAAACTTAACATTATGTAAGTATTTGTTATTTTCCTAATGCTGATCTTCTATCTGGAAATACTAGAGCAGCATGTGTAGCCCGATTGGCTGCATTAGATACTAGAAATAATGAATTACAATACAGGATAATGTAAGTTTAGACAAATATACTACTAAATTAGAACAAAGCTTTCAAAATAATACATTATTTATCGAGAAGGTTTTAAATTTAGAAGCACAGGAACTTGTTGAAGAATTATAAGAATTTTCTTATGAAGAAGATGATGATTTTTCAAATGAAAGTTTAATGGATGAAAAAGATAGGGATACAGTCAGGAGTTTAAATGAAGAAAATACTAATTGGGAGATAAATGATGTAATTGGACTTGATGAAGAATAAATTTAATTTGATTTCAATATGTAAATATTTTGGGGGGAGGGGGGTTTTTTTTTTCTTATCTTTATAAATAATTATATGATATTATAAATAAAATCAAAGAATGACTTTGCTATAAACGATTTTCTCAACTCGTAAAAACAAAATAATTTTTTAAAGTTAAAAAATTGTATTTTAATATCGATGGGTTTTTGCCATCCGTCGAAACTTTTGCCACCCGTCTAAACTTTCGCAGTGTTGCCTTTAATAAAAAAATTTGGCAAAACGTTTCGATGGGTTTCGATTTCGATGCCTGTCGAAACCTCCGGGTTTTGCCCGGCAACCTTAGTTTAAGATAAGTGCATATATAAGTTGAATTAAAAATCAAATCTTAGATCGTTGCTAGATAATGAATGCTTCATGTAACTTTTGTAATCAAGCTGTCTAATTCACCATGAGAAGTGGAGGTTAAGAATGATATTAGACGACTAACAGACTCAATTCTTCTCTGACAAACGAAAAGTTGTTAGATCCTAAACAAGGAAAGTTAGCAATAGCAATCAAATACATATTCCTAATATGAAAGTATTTTAACCAGCACGTTCACCGCAGTATACCGTAAAAAAGTTTACGGATTGTTATTTTCAATTTATTGGACGTGGATTCGTCGAAACTAACATTAGATTCTCTTTAATGAAGGAATTGAAACAAGTGAAATTAATCAATTATGGGCAAAGTTTATTACTGATGACGGCATCTAAAATTCTCATTACTGCGGAATAATTGAATTACAATCGTACCCGTTGAAATGATTTCCGATGTTGTTGATTATTCATAATTTTATTTTTGCTAAGATGAATTAAATGCTATGTCGATTTTATTTTTTAATGGTTATGGAGTCGATGTGCCATTTTACATTAAATAACTTTACGGTGGCGCAGCAAACAATATTTATTAGTCAATATTACAACCTTATAAAACATTTATCATTTGATAATGTATTTGTGAAATTCTTATTTATATATTTACGTTTTGATAAATAGATTGCCAATGCTTGTCGTAGATCTTAAATAAAGAATTAGATGCAGGTCAATTGCTTAGCAGATTACATTGTAAAAAATTCCTTCAAATTTGAAATCAAAAAAGTTATATAAATTTATTTAATTTATTTATTCTAAAGAGTCATAATATTTTTTAATAGATGTTACAAATTCATTTATAACTTAACTTTTATTTATAATCATTGATTTATCCTATTCATTTGAAATTCTTGAAATTTGGTGATTGATTTTTTGTTGAACTCAAAACTCAAATCAAAAGCTAAAATTATTTAATAATCCATCATTTAAAGGTCAAATAGATGGTTAAATGTCTGATTATAGCAACTTTTCAAAGAAAGGTTGTCCTGTTGCACTAGTCACGTGATCACAACTACGTGACATTAATGTCTCGTGTAACCAGACGCGTTTTACCTTTATAGTCAATAACAACCCGTATAACGTTACACGAATAAACTTATGTATAAAAGGCTAACAATACAATTTTTTAAAAATAAAAAGTAGTAATTTGTTTCTATAGTTTTTATCTTTTTTTTTATTAGCTAAATTTTTTTTTTTTTAAAAAAAAAAAATAAATAAATAAAAAATGAATGAAAGAAATAATCATTCCAGGAGAGATTACAGATTAGAACCATATCAAAAACATCTTATTATTAATAAAATTCAAACTCAAACTCAAATTTCTTCAAATGGGATTGCATCATCATCTAAAACAGCCAATAGCAATAGTGGAAACAATATATTAACTACTATACAAACATCTATTATCGATTTTGATCAAGTTAATACAAGTTTAATAGGTCATTGTGATACGAATCATTTAAAACAATGCTCCAAAGATTATTTTACACCACGCCAAATTTATCTTTGGGTAAAATTATTAGAATTAATTGTTCATTTATCTAAGGATTTAAATGAAATGTTAAATAATGATTATATTTCTATGGAGTGGATTATTCACCGGGAAAAAATAAGGTTTGGTGTTCTAACCTTATTTAAAAGTTGTAGCATTTTTTTTAAAATATTTTGATGTATTAATTTATTATTTGTTAATTTTGTTATAGAAAGGGTTTAATAACAAAAATTACAGATAATGAAAAAATTTTAATCCAATCCTACATTTCAGAAATTCATAGTGCTTCTTTTAAAGAAATTAGCTTTTCTTGGGAATTAATTCAAGCTATTGTAAGAATATTTTGATAAATATTTTATAATTTATGATTTTTCTGAAGTTTTTATTGATCTTTGATAATTTCTTATGGTTAGAGTGCAATTATATTTAGACATCCTAAACAAGTTCACCTTCTTTGGGATGAAATCAAGGTAACTAATTTTTTTCTAAAAATTTCAAGATTAAATGATTGTTTTTTTTAAAAAAAAAAGATAAAATTTTATTTTTTATATTTAAAAATTAGAAGAAAATTGTGATGGATTTGGATCCAGAGAAAAAAAATAATAATATAAAAATGATGGTTAATAAACCTATTTTTAATTCAATGATGTCAATGAAGAATAAGTTAAAGGGTTTAAATTCATCCAAAGAAGTTGATAAAAGATTTGAAGAATTATGGAATCCATACCTTCAATCACCAAGATCGAAATGTCCTTATGATATTATGAATATTATGGATGATGACAAAATTCCTCAATTAGAGGTTGGCATTTTAAACTGATCTTTTGTTGCGTTTTCCTGTTACCAAACTTATTTTTATTTATTATAGTTTATAAAAGACAATATAATTCATCCAAACGTGAAAGGACCAAACCTTTTAGAGAATTTCGCATGTGCTTGCGCGGATAATTGCCAGGTATATATTTATAAGTCAAATTCCAATTTCGATTTTGAAATAGGTTTTAAAAAATATATGATTTTAAAATTGATTTGTAGAAAACTGCTGTGTGTCAGTGTATGTTGATCGATGAGGAAACTCATGGTATTACGATATTTTATTTATAATCTTTTTTTAGCGGAATCGGCTATCATTTTTTTAAAAATTTCACTTACCATCTTTGATTAGGTGAAGGATTTCCATTTAAGAAAGATAGATTATCAAGATCAGACATAGGAGCGATCTATGAATGTAATTCTCGATGTAATTGCGACATGAGTTGCCCGAATCGGGTTATACAAAGGAGCAAAAAGTCACCAAAGAAATTTCAGGCGAGTTTAAATCATCACGACCAAAAACGAAAATTCTTTATCAATGAAACTTACATTATAACAAGATGTCTTCTTTTTATATTTTAGATCTTTAAAACTAAAGAAAAGGGGTGGGGTGTTAGAACGTTCCATTTCATTAAAGAAGGTGAATTCGTAATGGAGCATGTTGGAGAAGTGATTGATGCTAAGATCGCATCGCTAAGAGCCGTTTGTTATGATAAATTGGATACTATGAGTTATTTTGATTTAGATTATGATTTTGATAAAAAAGAAAGGAGACAAGTACTTTCGTAAGTTCTTCTTGAATATATTTGAAAAAAAAACAAGCTCTTGGATTACTATTAAATTTTCGTTTTAATTTACCTTTTTAGACTAGATTCTAATTATTGGTGTGGAATAAGCCGATTCCTTAATCATTCCTGTAATGCTAATTTGATAACTATTCCCGTAAGTCATTTATGCAAAAGGGTCGTCGTGTGTTTCGCATATTGTAATTTTTATTAACAAATTATAACTATATTTATAGTTTTTTGTAGAGAATAAAGACAAGAGGTGGCAAAGAATAGCCTTTTTTGCACAAAGAGATATCAAAGCATCTTCTGAATTAACGTTAGATTATAAAATTGAAACCGAGGATTTTGTTTGTTATTGTGGATCACAATATTGTCGGTGAGTTGTGGGACAAGGAATTTGACTGATTTATTATTTATTTATTAATTTGATAATATTTAAGTTAACCTTGATACTTTTTTTTATTTTTATTTTTTAAAATTTATAGATATACGAAGAATAAGAAAAGCAATTGACAATTTCAATCAACGCGAATATTTTCCTTTTAATAATTAATACGAAATGATCATACAAAACCATAAATATTTTGTGTAAATTTTTTGGTCACAGAACATTATTTAGTGGATGTAATAACAAATATAGTAACCTATACACTTATTAGTGATATTAATATGTCTTTTGTGTATTTTTCATAAATCTCCATAATATTAGGATCAATTAAAGACGTTTTAAGGAAGGAATCAAAAAAAAAAAAAAAAAAAAAAAAAAAAAAAGTCAGAAATTTATATAGATTTTTCAATTAAAAAACTTATTTATTTATTTATTTTATTATATACAATTTTAAAAATTTTAAAAGCGCTATATATATGATATCAGTTTTAATTAGAAGTAGGGTATATAAAAAACCAAAATTACATCAAATAAGGCATATAAGGAGAAGCGTTATTACAAATAATATGATTTGGGAATTCCAGATTTTTTTTGGCTAGTCTTTTATCCAGGACAAATGTAAACCCCGCGAATCCTTCTCGCCAGTTGAATATCTTTTTGCATTATTGTAATTCTTTTCGCGTGAATAGCACATAAATTGCTATAATAATTCATTGAGAATACTTATCATTTGAGAAAAATATATCAATTGATAAATACATACGCGTCTTCAAATAAATGGACCAGATAGGCTTCGGTAGCTTTGAACTTATAAAGATAAATGTAAGATTAAGAAACATGAAGAAACATGAGGGATTGTTTCTTCAATACCTTCTTGAAGAGCCAAGATCGCGGCGGATTGCCATCTTAATCCAATACCAGTTTTTGGACCTAAGTCTTCTAAAGCTATTTCACGTACCTGTGTATAAAAATAATGGTAATTAATAAACTACGTCTTCAGATCAGAATAAGCATGTCTAAATTAAATAATTACCACACGAGAAAGGGAAATTTACGAATCAAAAGGTTTGTGGTCTTTTGATAATGTTTAATTTCACGTAAAGCAACTGTACCAGGTCTATATCTTTTGGGTTTAGAAGGTTTTAGAGGATTCCCAGCTACATGTTCGAGAGTTTTATGATTATTTTAAATTCTTATTAAGTGAATTGATCTAGCAAACGTACATCCAGTTCTCTTAACATTACTACGAGCGGTTTCCTTTAAAGTCGCTATTCTATGATTGGACGCTCTTCCTTTTCCTTCGCCACCTTTAGGACGTCGACCCATTTCTTTATGAGAGTTGTAAAGTGGGAATTGTTGATTGAAGATAATATGCAAAAAAAAAACAAAAAAGAGGGATGTTTGAAAAAAGTTCGTTTGTATTATTATATAATGATTCAATATATTAATTAGAATTACGTACTTTTTGTTATAATTACACCTCTTGTTTCGGAGTTGTTAAAAAATTTAAAGATCCGAAACTTTGATTATATTAGAATTTATTTACACAAATATTCTGTCATTATTTCTTTCATAATAGCTTATTCATTAATAATACGCGAGTATCTTGATTAAATACATTGACTAATTCGAAAAATAAAGCAGAAATCTTACCATGTTAATTTTTAGAGAATAATACGCTTCTATTTAGCAGAAAGAAGCAATAATGCCCGTTTGCGACCGTTTTTAATTTGTCATCTTTTCTTATATACATGGATGAGCCCAGGCAATTATAGTCACAGGTGTATGGTATTATTCAATCATAATATTATAAAAATTCAATTCAATGCATATACCCTTTCTAAGTAGAGAATTTTGCCTGAATTTGATTGGTTAGAGTCGTCCACAACCACCATATTTCGAAAACTTCTTGTCTCTTGTGAAAGATCAAGCTTAAAGAGTTCTATGATTATATTCAGAATGAGGCTTGAATTATTCGAGAGCTTTCTTTATTTTCAAACATAACGAATTCACTAAATTACGATAACTGATATATGGTCTACAGGGTGAAACAAAATTTATGAATTTTACGTATGATCAAATTGTTGGAAAAATACTTTTTCATGGATAGTTGATGATACGTCAATCGCGGACTCTCGTACTTCATCGAATTATTAAGTTCTGTTAAAACTTCAAAATTTTTTCGTTTGGTAACTTTTAATAATCAAAAAAATACTTCACTTACCATCATTAGTCATTACAGATTATTGTAATTAATCAAGGGTATTGGCCTTTGAAAACAAATATACTGTTAACAATTGAGATCACATTATAAACTGCGGTCATCTTCTGAACTCGCGATATAACGAAATTTTCATCACGTGAAATTAAAGTCGCGTTATCTACCAATCAAATTCTTCAAATTTTTGCTGAGATGCAGGTCCATACCGAGTAAGCTCTATTTTATATTTATGGAATGCAATAAAAAATTTTATCCTAGGATCGAATTTGAAATTTTGATTAGAACCTTAGTAGTATTATTGGTATGAATATACTATAACATGGAATGGGATCGTCCGCACAATAAGAGAATTTATTGGTGAATTGCCGAAATGTATCATGTGACGTTGCGTCATAATATAAAACCCCCTTTTTTCGCTTGAAAAAAAAAAAATTTACTTCCCACTTCTCACAGATCAGGAACTCGACAACGAAGGTATATTTATATTTATTTATTATTATTATTGTTTTTTTTTTTCAAGTATATAAGATTTAAACATTTTTTTTATATACAATATAAAATGACGGTTTACCTGAAGATTTCCGAGTTTTTTCTTTGGTACATCAACATCGAAGATAAAGAGGAGTTTAGGAGTTTTTGCCTATGGCCAAATAACCCGGTTTCCAGCCCATCCAGCTTTATTTTTCTGTGAAGAAATTGTCAAAGCGGGTAATGATGGACCAGTGTCTTTGAGGTTTAACCAGTTTAACGGTAAAGTCATTATATCGAGTTATCGGCTGCGGCTATAACCCGGTTTCCAGTCTATCCAGCTTTAATTTCCTGTGAAGAAATTGTCAAAGCGAGTAATGATGGACCAGTGATCTTTGAAGTTTAACCAGTTGAACCTTAAAAGTCATTATATCGAGTTATCGGACGTTTTTCCTGCGGCTATAATAACCGGTTACCAGTCTATCCAGCTTTAATTTCCTGTGAAGAAATTGTCAAAGCGGGTAATGATGGACAAGTGGTCTTGGAGGTTAATGGTAAAAGTCATTATATCGAGTTATCAGCTTCGGCTATAACCCGGTTTCCAGTCTATCCAGCTTTAATTTCCTGTGAAGAAATTGTCAAAGCGAGTAATGATGGACCAGTGATCTTGAAGTTTAACCAGTTTACCTTAGAGGTCATTATACCGAGTTATCGGGCGTTTTTCCTGTGGCTTTATAATACCCGGTTACCAGTCTATCCAGCTTTAATTTCCTGGGAAGAAATTGTTAAAGCGGGTAATGATGGACCAGTGATCTTGGAAGCTTTGCTTTAGAGGTCATTATACCGAGTTATTTTGGGATTAAAGGGTTACATTTATATGTTTTTGGTATTAGGGGATTTCCTTCCTTATTTATACTGGTAATCATATTGTTGCCTGTGGTAAATTTTTTTTTTGATTGGATTATATGATGATTTTGTCATTGATTGACGTGTTCTGATAATCTATCAAAAAAAAAAAAAAATTTGTTAGATGTTTGAACATTGATATTTTCTTTAAATAAAAAAAAAAATTGTACTATATATCAAAAATTATTTATTTTTTTTTTTTTCGAGTTATTGTCAGATGCTTCTGATCGATTAATGACCCGGTTGTTTCCAAAAATGATCCTTTCAAATTTTTTTTTCTTTTTTTTTTTTAACGTATTATGTCTGCATTGTATGAAATAAAGCTCCGCTATATGCGATTTCGATGCTGAAATTATAATCAAATATGCGAGAACAAATTTTCACCCTGGTCATTTCTGGATATGAGTTAAGATTATTGTGTAATGTAATATGAACTGTCTATATATTCTATTCTAAAGATTAATCCAAGAACCTGACAAATCCAAGACGATAGTGATTTTGCTCAACAATGATGTTTTTCGAATACCTTTATGGAATCACCATAACATCTTATTCTGAAGGATTTTATGAAGAAAGTTTGTAGAAGCGGAAAATTTCTTGTTGGTCCAGTTAACTCACACAATTGTTCATATTAGAAACGGCAACGCTGTGGAAATGTGGAGGTCATAAAAAATGAGTTGATTCTCGTGAGAAACTCTTAAAGACCCTTTTACGAAGTTCGATTTGGAATTAACAGACATTTACTTGAGATAATTTTGTGTTTGCGCGGTGGTAGCTTTTTATGTCATTTTATATTAAAATATATTAATTTAATTTTCTTAATTTTTTTTTATTTTTTAGATCATTAACATCGACTTATTTAAATTTTATCTTTAATTTCGTTGAATCCTTTATTTTTTATTTTCATTTGATCTAAACACTTCGCTTGAGCCTTTGATTTATTTTTCATTTTCGATTAGGTATTTTGATTTATTTTGATTTAATTTTCAGATCTTTATGGGGTGATAGTGGGAAATGTATGGTATACGTGAAAATTATTTCATTTGATCGGGTAATAAACCCATATGTGTCATTGACAATTTTTTTTTTTTTTAAAAAATGATTTTGATCATTTTGATTTCAAATATAACAAAAAAGATGTCATTTGAGGTTATTTAAGTTTCTTTCAAGGTCACTGCCGCGAGAAAAGGTGTGTTTTTACCGAAATTAAAAATGAGAATAATTATGAGTATCTTTATTCAATCTTTGAAACCACGATTACTGCGCCAATCGGCGTTCTATAATAGTTAGGTCATATTCTAATACTTCTATAGAAAAAAGGGCGAATTCCGGCTATCCGTCTTTAAAAATCAATTGTATGACTAAAATTTCCCTAGGTGATCGGCTAAGAAAATATTAGGTAGGCTAGGAAAGGAAACCATTAAAAGTCCCTGGAGAATCAAATTGCATAGATAAAATATATTGTCTCTGAACCATAAAGTTTAATACAGATAGATTTTATACGACGTAGACCGGAGCATAATGTGTAATATTTACGACGATCGCTCGGCATAATCTTATATTTTGATATTACATAATAAATGCTGTA